TATCTATGAATGAGACTGTTAGGAATGATAGGGGCAGAGACACAGCCTTGTATACATGGTAATGAGATGCTTTTGTGTTTATTAAGAAGAAAAAAGTTTTATCCTAAAGTAAAACAACTGGTTTTCCTGAATAAGAAAGACGACAATGAAGGACAGGACCTGAATGGATAAAACTGTAGGTTTGTGGACAGGGAAACTGATTTGCCTTGGATTATAGCATGTGCAAATTATGAGTTAAAAAGAAGCAATTCAGTGTGTTAGGAATTTTGTCACTGAATTGGCTCAGTTTTTATTTTATTCATGTTATTTTTTTTAAAGGCTGTGGTTCTTTTAGTATCAAATATTATGTCAATGCAAAAACAGAATTTGGTTTTCTGTCTGTTAAAATCACAAAATTTTCTTGAATGCTGATTATTGGTCTGCTCTTCATGAGAGGTGGTAACATGTTATGTCTGCCTCCTGTGTAATCTGCCTGGATAGCACAAAATCTGTGTCTTACCAGAATAATTTCCATACTTTAAAACAGGGAAATCCCTCTTAGGAAAGAGCTGTTTCTTCACGATGTTACCTTCTATGTTTATTTTTAAATGTAATATTATCACTTTCAAATGGGTGGGACAAGGCCTGTTTCTTAGCATCATAAGTATCCAAGTTTTCTAATCATTTTTTTTTAATCCTCACCCGAGGACATTTTTTTTCCATTTTTTGTTAAGATAGAGTGGGAGGGAGAAAGAGGAAGAGAGAGAGAGAGAGAGACATAGATGTGAAAGGGACACATCAAGTGACTGCCACCCGCACGACCAACCAGGGCTGGGGACAAACTGCAACCGAGATACATGCCCTTAGCGGGAACCGAACCCAGGTCTCTCTGTACCGCAGGCCGACGCTCTAACCGCTGAGCCAAACCGGCCAGGGCTCTGATTGATATTTCTATCTTGCTCTCCCTCTCTCTCTAAAAAAATCAAAATAAAATATAGATGTTTAGTACTTACTCCAGACTTCCTGAATCTCTTCAGTTGATATTCTTGGTATATCCTTGATATATTATGTAAATTATGTCTCAGGATTTTCATATATCTCAAGACTTTTTCCTCTATAAAAAGTATGTTCAGCCATTTTTTATAAATCAGATGTTACGCTCACTATCTTCTTTGAATTAGCCTCATTATGTTTTTGGCCACGGTCTAGATTTTTGGGGTGGGGAGACTGGTTTGATTTTGTTTTGCATACTTCAGCAACAACCGAATTTCCTTGTTAGCTGCATTAATCTTGTCATGAATTCTCTGTTGAAAATTCACTTTCATTCATTCACTTTTGAAAATGATCAGTAGAAAGTTGATCTGCGCCTTCTGAGGTCCCTGTCACCTACGAATAGTTTTTGTATTACTCTGATGCTCCCTAAAGAGGTCAAAGGTCTTACCTTTAACAACCCAGAACTGCCTCAGAAAAGCGCTGCTCTTAGACACAGGTTTCTGATGGCATCACTTAGACATCTTTAAGGACATACCAATGAACTAAGTCAGGATTTTCCAAAGTTTTTAGTCAAAAACCAGATGGGTTTAGCCCTGGCCGATTTTCTCAGTGGTTAGAGCGTCAGCCCACAGACCAATGAGTCGCGGGTTTAATTCCAATCTATGTGGCTCTATCACATCGATATTTCTCTCTCCCTCCCTCCCTCCTACTTTATCTAATGATAAATAAAAAAATATCTTTGGGTGAAGAATTTAAAAAAAGCAGATGGGGCCCTGGCCAGTTTGGCTCAGCGGTTAGAGCGTCGGCCTGCGGTCTGGAGAGACCCGGGTTCGGTTCCCGCTAAGGGCATGTACCTCGGTTGCAGTTTGTCCCCGGCCCTGTTTGGGTCGTGCGGGTGGCAGCCACTCGATGCGTCCCTTCCACGTCGATGTTTCTCTCTCTCTCTCTCTCTCTCCCTCCCACTATATCTGAACAAAATATTGAAAAATGTCCTCGGGTGAGGATAAAAATAATAAAAAAAAATTTTTTAAAAAAGCAGATGGGTTTATGAGATTGCAAACCCAATTCAGTGGAATAAGAAGCAATCACATAGGACTGAATAAACTGATAAGGGATGCTTGTTGTCTGTTTTGGAATATTGTTGACATTGTTCTGGTAAGGGATGCTTGTTGTCTGTTTTGGAATATTGTTGACATTGTTCTGGTGTTCTACTTTCTGAATGTATAAGGCAGCCTGGTCTCTTTCTTTTGAAGTTCTCATAACTTATCACGATTTAGTAGACTCTGTTTTTGAAAGTGAAATGGAACATAAACAAATATCTTATTCTCCCTACCTGATTCCCCCAGAATTCATAAAATTGTGTTGACTCTTCTTGCTTTTCATAGCAATATGGTTAATTTCAAAAGTTCAAGAAGAATCTATCCTGCCTTGGCTGGTTTGGTTCAGCGGTTACAGCGTCGGTCTGTGGTCCATAGAGTTCCGGGTTCGGTTCCCGCTAAGGGCACGTACCTCGGTTGCAGTCTGTCCCGGGCCCAGGTTGGGGTCGTGTGGGTGGCAGCCAGTTGATGTGTTTCTCTCACATTGATGTTTCTCTCTCTTCTTCCCTCTCTCCCTCTTGCTCTATCCGAAGATGAATGCAAAAATGTCCTCGGGTGAGGATAAAAAAAAAAATCTGTCCTATTTGTTTAAACGATGGCATAAGTAGAAAAAGCTGTTATGCAACCAATGCCTTCCTCAGAATGTTGTAATTGACAATGATGCTCAATTAATAAGATATAATCAGCCCTTTTTAAGGAACTAAGGTTGACTGTACGGAGACAACACTAATAAAACCCTCTCAAGAAAACTGGCTTATTGTTTTCCCTTGTAGGCAAATAAGGAAGGCCACTCCCTGGCCAGCCCAGGAAACTTAGGATATTTGGGGCATCTCAAGAAGGGAGGAATTTCCCTAAATGTATAGGTACAGCAGGTAACTTCTAGTGAAGAGAGTTTCTTAACTTAGCTTCTTAATTTCAGAACAATAAATAATAAGCTTTTAAAAGTATAGTCTAAAATTCCTTATAAAAAATTCCAGCAAACTTCACAAGGCCTCTGTTACAGATTAGCACTCCCGCGACACCCATATAATCAGGTCAAATCTAATGAGACAAACCTTATTTTATGATCAAGAATGATCTTTCGCCCTGGCCGGTTTGGCTCAGCGGTTAGAGCGTCCGCCTGCTGTCCGGAGAGACCCGGGTTCGGTTCCCGCTAAGGGCACGTACTCGGTTGCAGTTTGTCCCCGGCCCTGGTTGGTTGTGTGGGTGGCAGCCACTCGATGTGTCCCTTTCACATCGATGTTTCCCTCTCTCTCTCTCTCCCTCCCACTCTATCTGTACAAAAAATGGAAAAATGTCCTCAGGTGAGGATTAAAAAAAAAAAAAAAAAAATTAAAAAAAAAGAATGATCTTTCTTTGCAACTACTTTTGCTCAGAGCAGGGGAGACTGTAGGCAAACATTGTTTCACTGGAAAACTGCACTGCCTCCCGTGCAGGTCATCTGCGTCAGCGGCTCATGGCCACCGGCTGTCTCACAGTGCTTCCGAGTGGTGGGAAACTCATCACACAAAACGTGTCTACAAGCTGAGAGCTTCAGTCTTCCCTTCCAACCTGTGGGATAACCAGTTCTCCTCAGTATTCCTGATTTCTAAATGGGCGTGTTCTTTGGATTTCCTTTTTTAAATTGGGGATATATATAATAAAATTGGCCATTTTAACCATTTCATAGTGAACAGTTCAGGGGCATTAACTCCCTTCACATTGTTGTGCAACCGTCACCACCAGCCATTCCCTTCATCTCCTCAAATTGAAACTCTGTCCCCGGGAAACGATAAATTCCTCATTAACCCCTCCCTAGACTCTCTTTTTCCTGGATCGGAGCATCTTCTGATTCCTTCATTATGAGTCAAATAAAATCTTTAACACGTTCATTTTTATATCCATAGGAGAGTCAGGTTTTATCTTTTTCTGAAAAATACATTTTAACAGTCCCAAACTCCAAAAAAGGGCCAAATAAGTCATGCACATGGGTGAAGAAGGCTGGATATAATGAGGACTGTCACTGGTAGGAAAGTTCCTAGGGGACCAACCAGCCCAGAACTGAGGGGGTTAGAAATGTGCAATTTTCAGTTTTAAAACTAGACTAACCTGGTCATGTTAAGAACATCTAACTAAAGGGGATTCCTTAAGTCCTGTTAATATAATTTGGGGACTTAGGCCTGGTATGGCTTTGTCTGTTTTTCAAGAGAAGCCAGGAATCTGGCTATTTACGTTAAATCTTATCATTTGTAAATGATGGCAACTAACACAGTATTTCGGAAAAACACTGCAGACCAAGCTGCTCCACCGTGGGCATCTGGTGAACAGCGAGCTGAGCCTCTGCACCTCACCCACACGCGCGCACACGGGTGGCCTCCTCTGGCCTCCCTTAGTCAGGAGGAAAGCTACTGTGGAAGTGGCTCGCCCATTGCTGGGGTTACCCATTGTTGGGGTGACCACCCAGCTAAGGAACAGCTGCCCCCTGTGATCTGAGAAGTAAGCGCTTCCTGGTGAGTCCCTGGGGGCCTGGAGCCCCTCAAGGCAAGCTCCCAGGACCGCTGAGTTCTGGCCTCTGTGTTATGAGCAAAGTGAGACCAAAAGGGACACTCCACGACGCCAGCAGCCACTTTTCAGCAACTGCACCACCCTGGTCCCGACTCCCTGGCCCACAAGTCCAGATTCGCTCAGGTGCTCAGGGAGATGAAAGTAAGGGACTCTGAAGGTCGGTCCCGGGGTGTGGGGTGTTGTGCGCGCGTGTTTTCCCAGGATGGGGGGTGGTGTGTGTGTGTGATCGCGGGCGCGCCAGCCATTCATTTTCATCTTCTGCCGGCGCTGACGGAGCGCAGGCTCCAGGGCGGCGAGGCCGCCGGCTGCCCGCCCCCGTCCCACACTGCCTGCCCGCGGAGGGGAAGCTGCCCGGGGCGGCGCGCCTCCCTCCCCAGCGCCGCTCACCAGCTGTCCCTGGAGAAGGTGCGGAGGAACCAGATGCCCGGAGCCAAAGTGGACCGCATCCTGCCTGCTGGGGCCCGAGGGAGGCGGCTCGGCGGACAGAGCGGGGCGCAGGGCGGTGCGTCCCAGAGGCCAGCCGCTGGGTTTAAATGCCCCGCCGGCCGGCCCGCCCCGGTCCGGGCGCCGCAGGCCTGGAGCCTCCGCCCACTGGCTCCTGACCGCCCTCGAGATGGGACCCAGCGCAAACCGACTGCCCATCCCCTGACTGGTGCGTAGGCACTTGGTTCTCGCCTCCGTCGCCTTGGCTGGGGACCCGGGGCTTGGAGCTTCTGGGGCCGCTCCTGTCCTGCGCTCCCCGCTCGGGCCCCCGCAGGGAACCGAAAGCCGCATCCCACACTTCTCAGCTCTACATGACGATCCAGTCTGTCGCAACTGCTCTCCAAGTGCCTTCCTGTCCCCAGAAGTGGTGGCCCCGGCACAGACGGGAAACTGAGGCACACGGAGGGCTAGAGCCGACATCTGGGGTCCCTACATTATACCGCTGAGTGCGGGCGCTCCTCGGAGTGCAGGGGATGTCTCACGGAGTCACAATATCGGTCCCAAATACACCTTCCGGCCCGGACAGGAGCTTCCTGTGTTGAGCTAGACAGGACCCACCATGCCCCTCAGAGAGACTGGCCTGGCCTCTACTCCCCCTGACAGGGCCCCGGCCATTCCTGCCCCCCACCCCCACCCCCACCTCAGGCAGCCAGCGAAAAGGCCAGTCCAGTCTGGGGCACAGGATTCTCTGCTCTTAACAGTGTCCCTCTGGCCTCTAGCCTGAATTTTCTAGGGTATTTCCACCTATAAAAAGAAGACACTTTGAGATCTTTGAATAGGAACACAGTGAACTACAAGGGGCGGAGAGGGAAGCAAGCACCCTGAGAATAAAGTTGTTGATAGGACATAAAATAAGATTGTGTTGGTGCCAATGTTTTTGTGCCTGACCCCACCCTGTCCCTAATTCCTGGGAGTGCCCAGGCCCTAAGTGCAAGGTCGGGAAGTAGAGCAGCAACTCCACCAAACAGGTTAGGACTCACAGTAATGAGCTTGGCTGTGACCAGCAGAGAGGATAAGTGAATTGTAAAGATCTCTGAACGCCAGGCAGTCAGGGGTGGAGGTCAGTGGCAGAAATAAGGACAGCGACAAGCAGAGGCCAGAAAGTAGAGGGAGAGAGAGGGAAGAGAAAGGGGGTGAAGAGCCAATGCTAGATGATGTAAGTTTCGGAGAAGTGAGACATCAAAGGCAGAGCACAGCTAGCCTGGTCCTCAGGACCCCCCACGCTGTTCCCGGTGGACACGCATGTGTTCTCATCCACCGGGGAAGGGTGACTCTACGTCTTGTTTTGCCTGGGACAATTCCAGGAGACATTTGCTGTCCAGACCCGCCGAGTCAGTAACACCCAACAGACTTCAGGCTTGTAAGAACGCAGGGTGAGGGGACGGGACGAGCTAATATGCCCAGGAACACAGCTGCTCGTTTCTCAGGGGCGGAAGGAAGGAGAAAGTTAGAATTCAACCGAGCTAAGGCCATGGTTGCAGTTACTTGACACCACATTGGAGGGGCACATGGACATCCCCAGAAGAAGGGAAGGGACCTTCTCCAGGGTTCCAGAATCCAGTAATATGGAAAACCCAACTTCCCATTTCAGACAGAGAAAAGCCAAGGAATAAGGCTCCTGACTGCCCATTTTCACTGCCTTTTGGAGATGTTTGTGCCTCTCGGGAAACCATGCTTGTCTGGAGCTGGAACTCTCAGAGAGACATTAAGAATATGCCCTCTCACCCTGGCCGTTGCTCAGTGGTTAGAGCGTCGGTCAGCGGACCAGAGAGGCCCGCTAAGGGCACGTACCTCGGTTACAGTTTGTCCCCAGCTTTGATTGGGGTCGTGTGGGTGGCAACCACTCGATGTGTCTCTCTCGCATCAATGTTTCTCTCTCTCTTCCTCCCTCTCTCCCTCCTGCTCTATCTGAAGATGAATGCGAAAATGTCCTCTGGGGAGGATAAAAAAAAAAAAAGAATATGCCCTTTCAGTGGCATGGCTATTGCGCATGGAGTGCCAACAAGTAGCTGGCTGCAGGCCAGTCCTGAGACAGTCCTTGCCTTACGCCAGTTCCTTCCTGGGAACTCCAGCCTCACATCCCTGTTCCGGGCCCAGGGTGGCAGCTGGAACCACCCTCCCAGTGCCCCTCACTTGCTCCTGTGGGTGAGCAGGGCAGTCTCTGTGCTCCCTGCTGCTCAGGGGGTGTCAAAGGGATGCGGTGGCTCGGATGCTCCTGTCACTCACCGACGCAAGCTCTCCACCCTTGACCCCTTCTTTTACCTGGCACCCCTTCCACACCACTTCCTCTAACCCTGCAGAGTGTGCACAGCAGTGTCTGAAGGGAATGAGGGAAAGGATGAGCCACTGAATCAGAAACTAAAGGAAAAGATCCTCAGTTCTTATTATGAATAGACCTAAAAAAAACTTCCTATGGTGTCTAGTATCAAACCCCTGTGAGACAGAAGCTGGCTGTTAGTGGCCCCTTTGCCCACTAAATGCCAGTCCCTACTACTAGCGAGCTTTACTGACCAGCCACAGGAGTTCTGGGGAGCCGGTTATCTGTTCAGGCCGTTCCGACATGGCAACGTGTCCTCCCTGGTTTTCTCAAAGGGACCCCGGGACCTGACTGCCTGAGAAAGTCTCTGTGAGACCAAGTGCCATGAGAATAAGCCATTAGGCCACAGAACCCCAAATTTTACCACACACACAAGCATCATTCTTTGAACATACCTGCTTCCTCCTCCTTCTGTCTTATTAAACAGAGAACAGCATACTTTTTCGTGATTGAATCAAGACCCAGGCCCTTGGTAAAGGGGGTAAGAGTTGGGGTATTAGGAGAAATAGAGATTATTCAACATTTTAAAGATTCAGCTTCACATTAGGCTTCTTCACTGAGAGGCCAGCGGTGGCTTCCAAGCAGAGCCCGTCCGGCACCACTACTGCCCCGAACCTCAGTCCTCTCATCGTAAGATGTGGATAACCACCACCTTGCAGAATGGCGAAACAATGAAACATTATGCATCAAACGTGCCTGGCCACATTAACTAGGTTTGGTAAGTGGAGCAATAATTATGTGTGTATGAGCTTATGTATGGTATTAGGATCAGATATTGATGACAACTGATAGAAACCCGTGGCCATTTATAAGTGAGAACAAAATATAGGCGTCCAAGGATCAGAGTTCTTAAAAGTGTCCATGGGTATATCAGAATCGGTTTGCCCTGACAAGCCTTTTATACCCTGGGTGCACATGTGTGTATGTGTGTGAATGTGCATGTATGTGGGTATCTGTGTATGTGTGTGTATATACAACTTCCCTGTTATTGTAAGCATCAAGATAACACGTTGAGCCCAGCAGTGGACTGAGTGTCATTCCATGGACTGAGAGGTCCCGGTTGGATTCCCAGTCAGGGCACATGCCCAGGCTGCAGGCTCAATCCCCAGTAGGGGGCGTGCAGGAGGCAGCCAATCCATGTTTCTCTCTCACATTAATGTTTCTATCTCTCTCTCTAAAAAAATCAATAAAAACACATTTTTTTAAAAAAAGATAATAATTTTTAGCTGACAAGGATGGATGTGTGGGTTGAGTAAAGTGTCATATAAACGAATAAAACTATTATTATCTCAAATGTGCCAGATATTAAAATCTTACTAAGAAGGGTTGTTATTAAATTTCCTCCAGCTAACACAGTCAAAAGATAGGTTAAGCAAGGTGACCATGGATCCAAAAAGATTTTGTTCCTCAATAAAAGACAATGTTCTAGAAGGGCTTGGCAAAGACAATCCTTGTCTCAATATAACTGGTCACCAGTAGGGGCTTCAGTCCATTCAAGACGGGGCTGATGGTCACATGGCCTGAAGAACGGGCTCTGGAAACCACTATCAGCCAAGCAAGGGGGCAGCTCAGCTTTTAAAAGGTCAACCAGTGGTGGCAGCAGCTATAAACAAGGACAACCTGAAAAGAAACGGCCTTCAGAGAGGGAGGCGCATTTTTGGCAAGTGGTTTGATTATTATGATCTCCCAAAGTCACTTTGCTCAGGGGGAAACTGAAAAGGAATATACGATAATGCCAAAGGGAGGCAGCCTCGGGTGGCCTCGTCGTACACGCCAAGCACAATTTTTGATTGCTCCAGTATCTGACAGTAACAATTGACTTATTCATTTAACAAACTCTTGTTGAGTTTCAACTATGTGCCAGGCACAGTGCTATATGTTGACGGCACATTGATGAATAAGACAGGCACAGCCTGAACCTTGAAGAATTTACAGTCGAATGGGACAGAGCTGCGTAGAGACATAGTCTACCTCAGAGAGCTCTAGTAGGACAAGAAGTAGCTTCTAGAGGTATGTCCATTCCGCTGCGCTAACTCTGGGAGCATCTGGAAGGCTTCACAGCAGGTAATGTGGGAGAGGGGAAGTCTAGCAGGTGCATGCCACGTGGAAGAGAGAAGAGCAGGCCCAGCAGAGTGCATGCGCATGGGCGTGTGCACAACTGCAAGGCGTGAGGAGGTGTGGTTCAGAAACGGCCCAGGAGGCCATCTGTGCAGCTGTGGAACACCTGTGCGCAGAGGGGAGGGCAGGAGATAGGGCTGTGATTACTTGTGGTAAAGTGCAGAGCCTTAAAAGTCAATGTTAAGGGGTTGGAATTTTATCCTTTGGACAGTGGGTGTTGGGACCAGGAGACTTTAAAGGAGGGTTGGGAAATGATCAGGTTTAAGTTCTTAAAGGCAAATGGCCATGTAAAAGTCCTTTGTCAGACTTCTGGTTCTAGGCCAAGATGGAATAGATGCACTTTCCCTTAATCTACTTGCTAAGTACTAAAAACCCTGGGCATTATATACACAACAACACAAGAAAACTCTGGAAAAGTAGAGAGAGGAAGGCAGATTAGCCAGGAACCTCAAGACCTGAAGAAAGACACAGTAGTGGTTTGTCTGGGTTTACTTTTATATTTATATATTTCCATTGATTCTCAGAGAGAAAGAAAGAGAGAGGGAGA